CCTCCCTCCCTGGCTGGTTCCCTCCCCTCAGGTATTTCACTGGATTTATACTTCATTGCCAATCCCATATCCATCCCATGGAAGATGGGTAAACTGAGAACCAGGAGATAAACCTTAAATGGACTAAATCCAAACATACCAAAGCACTTAGACACCTATATACCTGTAAGGGCCTTGCTCTTTGAGGGCTACACAGCACTAAACTCAGCTGGGAAGCTCATGGACTGAGCTTGGGCCAGTGTACTACAAAATGATGTGGACATGTTAGTGGGACCAACTGGAAAGTATGTTGGGGGAGAGCCATGTGAAACAAAAATCATGTCTTGGTTGCATTACTCATGCTGAAAGGGCATGATTTCTGCTTTTCTTTAATGCCATGTTGAGGAAAACAACTGCAGAACAGAAGGCAGACTGAGCTAATATGTTTTCAAAGAAAAGGGTAGTTTTCAAAGAAAAAGTTAATTTCAAGCTGTGTGATTTGATATATAAAGAAAGTGAGGATTAGCAATGTGGGTCAGAGCAGAGTGGTGTAAACAATGGAAAACAGGTAAACAGGGGAAAATCTTGCTGATGGGAAATTTTCCCAGAGAGAGCCATTTCAGAAGCCAGCTGAAAGCATGATCAAATAATGTTTTCAGCAGGGGTGGAAAGTGTACAGCAAAAAGCGTATTTACCCAAGCTCTCTGTAAACCACAAAAAACCCTCTTGCCAGTTACAGCATAAGTCTCACCTGCTGCCAGGTCTGGACTGTGCTGGTACAGGACAAGATTCAGCTCAGCTCTCCTTCTTGGCCACTGTTTGCTGGGTCAGTCTTCAGCAGACAAGAATCAGGAAATAACTGAATGATATTGCTGTTCATGAGCCTTATCATTTATTGACATGAGGACTCAGAGTCTATAAATTAAAAGATATGTCTATACAGTCTGTCTAAGCTTTGCTGGGTGTTTGCGAGGAATTTATTATAAAGATGCTCAAACACTAAAGGATCAAAACAGCATTTCAGTCCCCCAGTGGGCTCTATTTTTTCAATCTTGCTTAATCTCTTACTCCCTTCCTGTATAGAAATATTAAATCAGTGTGGTTTTTAAATGTCAGGAGCTCAGTTTATTCTCCAGGCATTTTCCTGCTTTGCCCTAGGCTGCTCCAGTTACATGTCCTTGCAGAGGGTGCCTTAAAGTTCATGGCCAGATGTTATTTGCTAGCTGCTAATAGTTCCCACTGTCATCTTGGAGGTGACCTCTATAAAACCCCTGAAGGTAACAGCTATTTACCCTTGGAAAGCGGTGGTGTGGAAGTACATCACATGTGGCAGTGAGAGACACGATCCCGTATCACCCACACAAGGTCCTGGCCCTGCGGCAGCAAAGCAAGCACATCTACGGTGGAGCAAGAACAAGCATCAGACCTCTGGAGGGAAGAGCATGCACATGATGTGACCCTCAGCTGTGTCCTCTTGGTCTTCAGCAAAGAGGAGTGTCTCAGGTCCTGCAGGGACCGGTGTTATCAGTCTGTCGGGAGGTGGGTGTAGCTGGCAGTCTTCCTTGCAAGAGCAGTCCTGGTTCTAAGCTGGTGGCCAAGGTACAAAGCCATGCTGAAATGGGTGAAGTGTCTCCCCATTGCCCACGTGCAGTTAAGCAGGAGCTTTGAAGCCCAGAAAGTGCCCAGAAATGCAGAGGTTGTAGTGGAAAGAAGCAGTGCTGCTCTCAGCTAGTATGGCCATTTCAGCATCTACACAATGGGGCACAAAAGAAAAATTCTAGCTCAGCAAAGCCTTGAATACTCCACAGTGCTGGAATGAAGCACTGAGAAAATAGCAAACACCAGTAACAGCAAGACAGCTGCTGTTTTGCCACACAGTCTAAAATTTACATTTATGTATATATGTATCTTTAAATTTATCTGTTCTTCAGTTAGACACTGAAGAAATGCAGCCTGTAAAAAAGTTACCAGCAGAAATACTGCTGGAAAACTGCCTGGATGTTCTTGCTTCCCTAGTGCCCTTTACCCAGTACCCCTCTTCAGCTCCAAAATTTCCTGCAGATACAACAGGATCCTGCAAAGAAAGGAGAAGAGGTGCAGTATTTAAGTCCATTAAATTTTCAGTATCTTTTATACATGTACTGAAACCCTAAGAACACACAGGATCTACCAAGGCCATTCATTCATTAGCTGCCTGGGAGGGTGCTATCTAACATTCTCCAAATTAGTATGCACTGTCTAGCTTTCTTGAGGGTCTGGAGCTATCTCTGGGAGCACTTTGAGGCAGAGTTGTGGGCCTGAGGAACTCCTGACATACCTTCCCTGTATTTCGCGTGCAGGTGAGCCCTCTGTATGGGTTGCAGAGCCTCAACAGCCCTTACTGTTTTCCAGGTAAGGCTTCTCCAGCACCTGGGCTGTAGCTTGCCCACCCAGGCACAATTCTGCTCTCTTGTCTGAAGATGACACCATTGATGCCATTTTTCACTGGTGCTCTGAAGCAAAATGAGCAGGGACATCTTCCCCATAGCCTCCCTGCCACCCTCATGGAGGATGCTGGTGCCTTTCCCTTCTGTCTCAGGGACCTCTCCAGCCTGCCAACTCAAAACAAGCTGGATAATTATCCAGGTGTGGCTACCACACATTATAAACAGGATTATCCCTATTATTTGCTGTGCCTTGTTGCACAGGTTGTCTGGAAATCCTCAGCTGGCATTGTAGTCTGTTTGAAGTGAGATAGTGATAGGCATTGTCATGCAACCTTGTAGCCCAAAACCACCTGTGTGTGGGCTCTGCATTCACCACCACCAGTGCTGAGGGGCCTGTGAGGGGCCCACAGAAGATCAGATGGTGCTCTGTAATCAAGGAGAGCTTGTTACTGAGTTTCCTGTGTTTTTCATTTCTGAGCTGCCAAGGTTGAGTAAACACACCCCATATGAGGAGCTGCTGTATGGAAAAAAGGATGCTAAGGCATAGAAATGTCACTGGAATGTGCCACAGCACCTGCAGCTTTGGGGTTGTGTATGCTATTTCTTGGTTTTTGCTTTTTTTTTTTTTTAACAAGTGACTGAATGCATTTGAAAGGGTGTTCTGCTTAAAACAGTGCAGAAAATTTAAAAATCTAAATGACTGAAACCATAGCCAATTTCTGTACTCAGGACCCAGCCCAGCAGAGTAAATAGAGAGGTTGTGAGGAGTGAATTATCATCTGCCTGCTCTGAATGTCTGGGATATCACTGAGGGCTTACTGCAGGCCATGGCTTCAGTGTTGACTTTACTTTCCTGAAAAACAGAAATTTAGCCAGGCAAGGAGCTAGCTTGAGAACTGTCACGTGAAAATTAATGGATCACCATTAACTAAGGTAAGGGTGTCTCCAGAAGATTTAAAGAAATATATATCTTCCCTCCTCTCCAGAAAAAGCACTATGCATTGCACAGAGCAGAAATGCAGAGCCTGTATCTTTATGCATTAATGATGCTTTTGATGGTCTCCACCTCTCAATCAGGAAAATGGAGTGGATTCATCCCTTTTCTCTCCACTGCCCTGATGTCCTCTGCCACCTATTCTTCTTCCTCTTGTAAGAGTCTCAGACTGATGGATAAATATACTTCTCTCTAATTGTACCTGGCTAGGGCTGAGTTATTTAGCAAATGTCCTATCAGGCCAGAAAAATCAGAAAAATGCTCTTCTTGCCTTTGCTTGCCTTTTCTTCTTTCTTCCCCTCACTTCTAAAGATAGGTGATTTACTATGTCTTTCTCCTCCTTTATTCTGCCATACTACTCTTTCCAATATGCTCTGTGTGTTATCTTTCTCTAATTAACATTGACACTTACTACCCAGATCCTCTCCAAACTTATAAATGCCAAGTCAAATTTATGTTTCTAGAGAGCTTTCATTCTTTTTTTTTCTTTTTTTCTTTTTATTTCAAATATTATTACTTAAATGTTTTTGTAGGATTTTTTGAACCAATTCATCATTGCCAAAAAGTTTTCCAGACCTAAATGAAAACCAAAAATATGAAGTAGACCAGCAAAATTATTTCAAAATAGTTTTGGAGGGCACTTAGGAAGGGGAGAGAAGTCTGCGGGTTCAAACCAAGTTTTTATACATTAATGATTGTAGTTCATTCAGCAGTGAAATTTTTTAATAATCATGTTTTTGCTATAGCTATTTCATTTTTTCAGAGTATCCACTATTATGTAAGATAGGATTGCTTAAGCTGTACTAGTGGGACAGTTTATTTCATCCATTTTCTCAAGGCTGTTGCTGCCCGCACACTCTGAAAATTTGCAGTGCCTCTGTTCCAAACACACCTATACCTTGGCAACAATTTAAAAAAATACATGGATATAAAGAAAAAGGAGGATGCACACACACACAGAAAAAATTTGTTTAGTGTGAGGATTATCTGGGGCTTGTCTAAGAGTGATAGCAGGATTTGTTCTGTGGTCCAGCTGATCAGGCAGATACCAGGTACTGCAAGAAGCCTTTTTTTCCTGCTTCCAAAGAGGGGATTGATTAATCTTAAGGCATACAATTAGCTGTCAGGACTATAAACTGCCCAAATTCCTCAAGCTAAAGGGAGAAAAGCCAACTGAGCAAAAAGCATCTGTCAAAGGATGGTGTGTTTTTATTTTCAGTAGGTGATACGCCCACAGGAGACACCAATAAGGTAAGCAGAAAATTCTGAATGGAGAAAAATAGAGAAAACCATGATGACTGGTGGCAAAAGCAAGGGAACACAGGTAACTGGTGCTGCTCGGTCAGCCAGTCACCGTCCTGAAGGAAAACTGGACGGTGTTTCCGCACAGTGGAAAACTGCGACAGTGGTCGCAGCCCCTTGCTGCTCTCCCGTGTTGTTCTGAAAGCGGTGGTGAAGTGGTGCAGAGTGCCAGCCTTTTCCAAAGGAGGGCTGGCAGACCTCCCTACCCTTGTTGGGGGTGGCCTCTCCCCTCCATGCCTCATGTCTCTGCACCCCACGAGGTCTCTCCATGGAGCAAATCCCCCCTCAGCGTTTTTGCAGCCTGCAGAAAAACACTACCTGGACTGCTCATGTGGAGCAGTGGGTGAGCCCTCAAGGGATGGGGGAAAAGGTGCCTGTGTGCTCCCATGGCCTGTGGCCTGTGCTTCCTTTTCCTCCCAGGAGAAGCAGAGGGGAGCAGATGTCTCCATAGGTGATACCAACATGTCTGATGTTGGGATGTGCTGCATGCTCATCTGATGATGCTGCAGCTCCCAAATGCCAGACTGCTGATCCAGAGATTTTGGTGTCAGAGGCACCTCCAGGTGCACCTGTAAAGGCATGGTCCTGTATTTTATTACAGAGATGGTGCACCTACCAGCTGTTGTGCCATAGACACTGGCACCCTGAGGTCTCATACAACCTGATGTTGTTTCTCAGAGCCACACAACAAGGCTGCTAGGTGTTTTTTTTCACATTGTCCAGGCATTAGCTTCCACCGTCAGTGGCTCTGGACCCAACACGACAGCTACCTTGGACTAGAATGCTGCATCTCTGTGCCCCTGCCTTTCCACACAGCTCCCATTCTCCCTCCATCTCCCCCATCCTGCAAGCAGAACCAGACACCTTGTGAGGACAGGGTCTATATATAATTAGATGACAGCCACAGGGGCACCCAATCTCACAAACCACGGAGTGCCTTGATGAAGAATTTTCCGAAGGAAAACCAGCCGTCACTAAAACAGCTGCTTCTCCGCAGTGTTTTCAAACTGCTCTCCCTCCCTCTGGGGCTGCAGCTCCATCCAGGATCAGACCCAGGCACTTTTACTGTTCCTAGTCACGTTTCCTCACTTTACCACTGCCACAAAGCCACAGTGGAGAGGATAATCTGCACACACCAAGTCGGAGGAGGAGGAGTTAGAGCTCATTTACCATCTTGGAGGCAAAATGCCTTGCCAGACAGGGACTGTAAATCACAGATCCCATTAGCAGGCTTAGGGGAGAGAGATGAAGAGGGCTTACTTACCCACATTGCAGTCCTGGATGTCAAAAGGACCTTTTCAGACAAGGAATGCTGAAGACCAAGTTCCAGAATGCTGGTACTTGCCTAGCCCAGATCCCCCAGCATACTGAAATCCCTATGGCAACTCTGTTCAGAAAGAAAAAGTGATGGAACTGCCAAAAATTGTTTGGAAAAAAACCAAAACAAACAAACAGCAATACTGCATTTGAATGTAAAACATCACCACAGAGGAAAACAAAATACCTCTGGTTTGGCCAGGTTGACAAATGTTGAAGAGTTGGTGAAACATATGCTGACCCTGCCTCTTGTGGGCCTCTACTGGGACTCCAGACAAGACCACTCCAGAGAGAAATGCCCTAAAACATTGTGCTCCTTCTCCAGCAGGCTATATCATTGTATTTTTGTTGTTAATATAGTCTCTGATTCTGTAGGTACAGTTTTCTTAAATGTCAAGGGCCACTCCCTTAAGGCTCAACTATACTTACGCTACATGAACATATTTTAAAGCAGGTACAAATGTCCCTATAAATATTAATAGTATAAGAACAGGGGCCTCTAAAAAATTACTAGGTAATAGTAATTTTGAAGACTACATGGCATCAAATATGGGATTTGTGAAAATTGTTTTGCAGTAGTAAATATTTTGGAGCCTGAGCTAAACTCATACTTTAGCACTTACAGTTTTGCAATTACTGACATGGAAATATATCCTTCCATGAGATCTATTTCTAAAAAGTACATTTAATGTGAGTGAACACACAGAATATCCTGGAAATATAGATGTAATTCATGAGATCACTAGTAACATTTATCACAGTTCATTAGCTATCTAGGCCTGAACAGTGTTGGCTCAATAAGCCAAGCAGTCTGGATATGCAACATCGTGGGGAGAAAAAACATCCCTCATGTAGGAGTTGAGCAGATTTGCAGTGTCTCGAGCACAGTGACTGTAACTTACCTCTGCACTCCAATTTGATTCCTATGCACCAGACCCCATGTCCCAAACTGAAGTTGAATGGGACAAGTCATTTATCTCTCCCTGTAATTCTTGAAGGGAGACACAAGGTTTCCTGGGTGAAGTGAAATGAGACAATTCCTCTGGTTGCATGTGTTGCTTAAACTGGTCACAGGCTGATGCTTTGGGGTTTTCAGTAAGGCTGTCCGGAATTTCAGTCCTCTGGAAATATTTCAAGGTTTGCTGAAAAAAACCCTGTCCCACTTCTAAAGAAAAACTGAAGAAACTAGAGACCTTTCTCAGCTAATCTGGGGAAAAGAAAAAAAGGCTACTGTTGGAATAACACACATAATTTAGATCTGGCTAAGAGTCTTTTGGTTTAACAAAAACAAAATCCTCTGACGAGGGTGGAATTATCTAGAGCAAATCATTCTAGTGGACAATTCCCCACTCCTATCCCTGTTAGATCCTGTATCTTTCTTCCGGTAATCGAAATATAAGCCAAAAATTATTGCACAACCAATGAGAGTGAAAAAAAGAAACTCTTGAGCCGTGGCATTGAGTAAATGTCACCTGAGTCAACAAAGAGTCCAACAGATGGAGGTTTTAACATTGTTTTTTCAAATTCATCATTAATTTATTTTTAAAAATAATGACCGTAAATCTTCCTAGAACAGATTGTTTTTCTGCCTGTCATGATTCATTAAACCAGTACAGAATGAGATCATTATGATTTAAGTTAGCATTTTTGAGACTGCCAAATATCCTCCAAGTACTTCCTGCAGCTGGGACTGCAAGCATTGTCCTTGGAGCTGGCAGCCTGCTTGCACCATATCCTGGTCCAAGGGCTCCTTGTGCCTCTGGCTAGCAGCACTGCCACGTCCACGGGGCCCTGCTTGAGTGGGTCGCTTTACCTGCTCTTCAGGCAGCAGCAAAATTGGAAGCTGACTTCAAGCTGCAAGGCTTGAGAGTCTGTGGAAGCAAGCACCAGCAGAAATGCACAGCCATCTCCTTGAGGAGCTAGGGCTAGAAAACTCTTCTCCAGAGGTGGACTCTCACCCACCTCAGCTGGCAGCTGAGCTGCCTGATTACTGGGACACGGCAGTTACTGGTGCCTTTGGGTAAATCAGGACTTCCCTCACCCTCTTGCAAATTCCTACATTGTAGAGCCAAAGGATGCAGCAAGCAGAGTGGCAGCCACTGGAGACAGGTTACCAAACCCAGACATTTTCCTTTTTAATTTCTTTTTGGTGTAATTTCTTGACTCATTATTGAAACAACAATGACATAAGGGGCATGATGTAGCAACAGGGAAGACAGAAGTGGCTAAAAGCAAAAAAAGACAATGACATATTCATGTAGAAAAAAAAAAAAAGAGCTGGCAGTAAAGGGGAATTCACAAATTACCTGATAGAAAGGCACATAGCTATTCCCTGTCCCCACAACCACTCTGAGAGTTCTCTGACACATGAAGGATACCAAAAGGAGAAAAAAACCACCCAAAAAGTCAACAAACAAAAAGCAAACCACCACCCCAAATTACAGCAATTACTTCATCAGAGCATTTTCACTTCCTACTCTGTGAGAGAGAAATTCCCCAGGTCATCTGACCTCTGTTGAAACTACACCAGGAAGAGGAGCAGCAGCAGTCGACAAGTGCAGGGCGTTCTCCGGCTATACAAAAGCCTCCCATGTGTGGGCCAGAGCTCAGAGCAGCGCAGGGATGTGCAGGTGTGCATTCACATAGCAAGGTGAGCTGCGAATATCTTGCCAGCCAGATCATTTCTTGCACAACTCTCTGGTCCTGTGCAGCCTGGCAGACCTTTTGCTTTTCCTTTCGCTGCTTGTTTCCAAACATGCCTCCAGAGCAGAGCATCTGAGGAGCTGTTTCCCCACGTACTGTTTCCCCACGTGCTTCTGAAAGCAGCTCTCTCCAAGAAGAGGTGGTGACTGGCAGCGTGGTGGGAATAATGGCAATGAGGACATGGATTGAGCCAGTGGTTGCGGGTTCCCAAGTGGCCAGTGCCTTCTACGACACAGCACTGTTGCTGGTAGTGAAGAACTACTACAACCAGACCAACAGCACTGCTCCCTCCCACGTCCTGGAAGATGCTCAGCAGAAGGCTGTATCTAACTTTTATATCATCTACAACCTAGTTCTGGGCCTGAGCCCGCTGGTGTCAGCCTATGGCTTGTCCAAGCTGGGGGACAGGATACATAGGAAGATCCCCATCTGCTTCCCTCTTCTTGGTTATTTGGGCTCCAAAACTCTCCTGCTCCTCCTGATTCTGCTGGGCTGGCCAGTGGAAGTGATGTATGGGGCTGCTGCCTTCAATGGGCTGACAGGAGGCTTCACCACATTTTGGGCAGGCATCATGGCTCTGGGATCCCTGGGGTCCTCTGAAAGCAAGAGGTCTCTGCGGCTCATCATTATTGAACTGGTGTACGGCCTGGCTGGCTTTTTGGGAAGCATGGCATCTGGCTACCTCTTTGTTGGCTTCAATGACCGCTATCGAGAAGGCACCGTGCTGGTGTGCTGCAGCATTGCTTGCTATGCCTTCTGTCTCCTCTACAGCATTTTTGTCCTCACAGTCCCCAAGCCAGCAGCTTCCTGCCCAGCCAAAGCCAAGAGTGCAGGGCAGGTGGGTGGTCAGCTACCAGAAGCAGCAATAGCAGGCAGTTCCCAACCTTCAGAGGGCAGCATCTCCACTCCAGTATCACCCTCGAAACTCATCATCATCCTGCTGTTTGTGGCAGCAATCCTCTATGACCTTGCTGTGGTTGGTGCAATGAATGTACTCCCACTGTTCTTGCTCAGGGAACCATTAAGTTGGAATGCCGTGGAGATCGGCCACGGCAACGCTGCTGGGTACGTGATCTTCATTACCAGTTTCCTAGGGGTACTCGTGTTCTCCAGATACCTGAGGGATATTACCATGATCATGATTGGGGTAGCATCGTTCAGCGCTGGCATTCTCATCATGGCCTTCGTGCGGTGGACGTTCCTGTTCTACATTGGTGAGTTGAACAACCACTCACATGAGCAAATACACGCTGAGAAAGGGGTGTTTCAACATCACTGGAAGAGCTTTTTGCTTTGCTTCATAACAAGTCTGCAAGCAGGGAGTTAGGCAGATCATCACATGGGCAATTTGGAAGAAAGCATTCTTATTATTCCTTTCCCCACACCTCCCTTAGTACTCTTAAGACTCAGCACTCTACAATATCCTGAGGAGTCATACGCTCCTGCCAAGGGTTAGTTTAAGGCCTAGTGACTTGTAATTCATCAGTTGCTCATGGACCATATCTTAGCAGAACAATGTTCACACTCTGGGGGACTGGGAATTGTTGCTGACTCCCTGTACTGGTAGGACCACATCACTGCAGCCATAGGAAGCACTTGCTCCTTCTGAGGTAAGGCTCAAGGCTACAAGAGAAGCAAAATGGCAAAGGCTCCCCATTATGTAACATCTTAAGATGTGATTTATTTTTGTCATATGAAAGCACTTACAGCTGATGGGAAACTTAATGAAACATTGGAGCTGTAAGTATCACAATAATATAGTTTATAAATCTCACACTGTACATAAATTACTAAGGGAAAAGTAACAATAGGTGGGGCAGCATCCCATGATAAAGGAAAGGCAAGTTTACTTTTGGGAAGTAATCTATGACAAAAAGCAAAATCCAAGAACTGCATTCATTGTGGCAGAAGTATCTCACAGAGTATCGTCTATTGCATGGCTTTAAGGTTTTGCTTCTTAAAGTTGAGAAAGACCCTGGAGATAAATGTCCTGAAGTGATTTTTTTTGTCTGTCCCTATAGGGAATGGGAAATTGAAAAATTAAGCAAAGTTATTCTAAAGGGAAATATGATAAGATATTGTATTCGTGTACTAAGCCAAACACTGAGTGAAAATTTTAAGAGCTTTTGTTTGTTTAGCCAATCAAGCTGGGGAATAAAAAATTAAAAAAAACAAACATAAAAAACCCAAACATTGCTTAATAAGTCAGCTCATCTTCATCCTGAAGACATGCTGCTATGCAGTGTCTAGGATGCTTATTCCCTGCACTGCAGAGACACCTTGGTACACTAGATATGGACCAAATCTTCACTGAAGCTGGTTCTGCTGACAGGAAGGTAATCCCAGCTCCCTATGTATTTTCACAGTAGAATAC